AGGAGCCAACTGTATTAAAACTACAAACTATAGGGGTGTCAACTGTCAAAGCTACAAACTATTGAGGTGCCAACTGTTAAAATTACAAACTACCGGGGAGCCAACTGTATCAACGCTACAAACTATTGAGGTGCCAACTGTCAAAGTTACAAACTACTAAGGTGCCAACTGTCATAGCTACACACTTTAGGGTTGCCAACTGTCAAAATAAAAGGGGATCAAAGTGTAATTCAAACCCTTCCTTTTTGCCTATAAATACCACCCCTTAGGGCTTGTAAAGAGCATTTTTGGGTAATGGAAAATCCTCCAAAAGTATTATTGCTTTCTTTAAGTATTGTTTTATTTTATTGTATTATTGCTTTCTTTTAATGTATGCTTCTTTTACTTTAAATATTGCTTTCTTTTATTGTATTATTGCTTTCTCTTACTTCCATTGTTTGAGCTTCCTTCTTCCCTTAGAAGAGTGAAACTCTTTCACTTTTCTAGAGCTTACCAAAGCTGTGAAGGGTGGAACGTGATTCACTCATTTTTTGTCGAAGATCGGCTCCTTGTGTAATATGTTTTACCTTGTAATTCTTCTACTAGGAGGGATGAGCATCACTCACTTTTTCAGATTTACCAAAGCCATGAAGAGTGAGTAATTTCTCATTCACTCTTTAGAAAGAGGTGATGGGCATGTATAAATCATCTGAAATTTATATTTGTGCATTTCATTTTCTTTCAAATTCTTAGTTTTAAAATGGGTATTAAATGCATTCTCTCTTAGTTTATGTTTCTTTGCATTAGCTTAGCTCCAATTTTCATTTCTTCATATTGTCTTCTCATTACATTGTTGTCTTTACCTTAAACATGAGTAGCTAAGATTTTAAGTTGGCTAATCCAAGGGAGACTTCCTCTTGGGTATGCCAAGAGTGACCCGAATGTCATCTGCGCAGCGGTCAACGATCTCTTGTTCTGTATTCTTATTAGCCTCCATCTTTGCCCTGACCCTGTCCAGCTCCTGGGTGAGAGTTGAGCAAGTCTACTTCGACTCCTCAACCTTCGCCTCTGTCTCCGCCGAAGATAACTTCTCTGTTACCTCGGTTATTTTTCTCTTGGCGTATGCGAGGGCTGCACTTAGCTTTTTAGCACTAACCCTCGCAGCCTCGCTGTCCTTCAAGAGCTGTTCAATTTGGGCTGCCTGGGAAGACAGTGTAATGTCTCTGGCAGCCACGTCCTCCCTCGCGACGAGAAGAGCTCCCTCAGATTCAGCCTCAATCTCTCGGATTGTTGAAGCCTCTCCCTCTATGAGTGGTAGCACTTAGCAATGACTGAGATTTGCTAGAAGATTTGCTAAAAGGGAAAGAAGAAAAGTTACTGCAGCACAAAGAAGATAGAAAAGTAAGGAGGGTTGTTACATAAACTTACCACCAGGGAGCTTTAGATGACTGAGCTGAAGAGCTGATTAGTTGGCCTCGCCTGGTGTTCCTCCATATTGGCTCCAAATTGGAGCGTCTCACTCATAGCGTAAGCCATGTGAGGATTATGGATGATGGAGTCATTAACTTGGATCGGCCTATTTTCTCGATCCCGGGCCCGGGGGAGCCACTCCTCAATGGTTGTCGTCGGCGCCACTCCTCAGCGGTTGCCATCGGCACGGAAGGAGGAGGAATTTGTTGTTGCTATTGATGTTGTTGTTGATGTGGTTGAGAGGCCCTGCCTCGGCCCAATCCATTATGCCTGTGTTTGACTCTTCTCTCCTCCTCAAGTTGAGGATCCCTGTCACGGACCTAACCCTGGCCAGAAGACCTCGGTGGCACAGAAGGGGGAGGAGTGTTGATGTTACTTCTTGGAGGAGGTGGAGCATTGATGGAAGTTCCCCTGCCCCTTCCGGAAGCCAAGGTGGCCCTCTGATTTAAGAAGTTGAGGTCGGCAAGACATTGCCACCTCAAGCGTGTCCTCCTCGTCCAAGTTCTGAAGAATATTAAAGTTAGGCCAAGCCTCCCTCCCGGATGTACTTGCCTCAACGCGAACTGTGGCAAATGAGTCCTTAACTTCCGCCGCCTCTTCCTCTTCTTCACCTCCCTTGGCGACCCCTTCTAGCTCGGCCTCAGTGGCCTGGTCAGGATCCTCCTCCAAGTTCTCCTGAAGAAGCTCAGACCACCTCGAAGGATCGAAGGTTTGACAAGTTTGAGAATACTTCTTGTGCGCCGGAATGTAGTCAAGAAGGATGTGGGTTGCTCTGTCAAACCCGTCGTCAACATACCCCCAGACGGTGACAAGGTCATCAAAATTAACTAAGTGTCGAGGTGCAAGAGCAGACTCACGGTTGGAGAATCCTGCACAAAAGAAGAGCATTAGGACTTGGTACAAAAATTTATAAAGAACTAAGGAAGCTGAAAGGGAAGGGAGAAGTTGACATACTTGTCGTTCGCCACTCTTTGGGGCAGCTCAAGCCATCATACTCGAGGCCAACTTCCCTCTCCTAAGCGCTGCTAAAGACAAGTAAGTCATCCTTGTACCCCTTGTTCGAGTAGGGGAGATGGGTTACAAGGTACATAGAGGTATCCCTGGCTTTGAGGTAGAAGTTTTGTTGGGGCATTACCCTCAGCAATGAATAACAAAAAAGGATGTCCTCAAGGCCAAGGTTGACCCTGAGGCGTCTGTTGAGCTCAACCACACCCATTACTATTCTAAAAATATTAAGACAACATTGCCTAGGAAAAAGATAAAATCAAGACAAGAACCAAAGAAGCAGTGGATGGAGGGGGAACCTGATCCTGCCCTTCATGATAGTCTTGGTGTAAAAAGGCATGGCGTCCTCAGCGCCGACGTTATGATGATGACGTTCTGGATCGAACTATTCAACGCAGACGTTGTAAGGGATGTCGTAATGGGTTTTAAAGTTGGTTATTTGTTGAATGCCCTTAACCGTGTACGTCTTCGGCCTAGAGGTCCCAACCTCTTGGGCCTTAGTGATGAGGTGACGACTCCTCGACATGTCCCAAAAAGAGGAAATGAAGGGTGCTAGAAGGTGTTCTCCACAATGGGGACCCCAAAGGACGCTAAGAGAAACTGAGTGACAAAAAAAAAGGGGGAGACAAAGTAGTGGTTCTGTGCTCCCAGTACTAAGGTGGTGAAGCTTGAGAGATGACTAGTTGCCAGAAAAATGAAAAAGGAAGAAAAAAGATGAAAAGAGAACAAATACTCACCGAAAAAGGGACTAGAAGAATGGACTGAAGACTTGGGGGCTTTTTCTCTGTCAAAACAGGGACTAGGAAAATACGGTGGGTTCTTTAGGCAAGCAGCTGAGAGATTTCGGTGAGTTCTCCGGTGAAAGTCTTTGAAACTGCCATGGGATCGAAAGTGAAGAAAGGGGGATAGGGCTCTGCTTATATAGTGCACCTCCCGTCCTCTAAATACTGACCACGTGCCCTCGGCACCGATGGTACATCTTGCTCTCTAACGTCGCCACGTGTCCTCAGTACCAAGGGTAGTTCATGTTCAATGGTCCATCTATACACCCCTCACACGGTTAGATTCTGAGGACCTGTTTGGGACGCGTTACCTCGACTTCTGAAGGGATTATTGACAGTTGCAACCATCAATCTCAGAACTGGTTGATAAAATCATTGGCTTGCCTTCACAATAACGTTAGAATGGAAAAATGAACAAGATACTCCACCAAGGGGAGTTAGACACGTGGCATGAAGTATAGACTTACGGGTAAATAGGCAAAAATACTCCTGCTGACATGCGGCTATCTTGAGCAAGCATTTAATAAACCCTCAGTCAATAGGACATCCACAATGGCTCAGGAAGCCTAGAAGAAGGAGCATTAAATGCTCTAGGACACAAGCATTTAATACCTATATATTGAAGAAAGAGCATTAAATTCTCAGGGGACCGAGCAATTAATGATGGGGCCTCCCCATGCAAAATAGGAGACGTATTGTCCCATGTCTGAGTACTACCTACTGTCTAAACCATCAGTAATAATGGGTCTTTGGATGTATAAATAGTCCCCAAAAACATAAAGCAAAGGTACGCAAAACCACTTTTCAAGAACACAACACAACATTTTCTTCTTCTCTTCTCTCAAAGAACTGATTTGATTGTTAGCGGGGATACGTTAGAAAGTATTCCGGTACCCTTCTAACTCATTTTTTGTGTGTCAAGAATCGTCTGCGACCCGCTGGAATCGATCGGACAACCCTTGAAACAATTAATCACCACTCCTTAGGGCCCTTTGGGCCATCTTGACTCTTCCTTTGTCACGGGATCATCGATTTTTTCGATAAACACGAGCTCACCAAGAAAGAGATGTCTTTTTCATCTGTTGTGTGAAAATCATCACGCACAAGGTCGCAAGGGTCTTCTATCTTTATTCTTTAGCTTGTTTCTTTTATTATACTTTCCTCCAACCAAGGGCTTGTTAGAAGATTAAAGATGAAAAGGCCAAGGGAAGGCCGCTTCTGTCATCCACCTTGCGTTGCTTGACTTGTCAAAAGGCAGTGCCCTGTTACAGGGCGAATTTACAGTAACCACCCTCAATTTTATTTTGAATATTGTTTACATGTATTTATTTATAAAATTTAATATTATTTAAATATATTTTGCAGTATTCACCTTATTACTACTTTTTATAAGAATATGAGTTCTAATTGATCTGATAATTACATATTTAGTCAGTCCTATAGTTTCAAAAAAAATTTCAATTGATTTTAATTGATTACATGGAAATTTTTTGCATTCACATTTATATAAATCGTAGTAAATTGATTCATATTGTATTTAGTCAAATTTGTGTCCACTGATGTATCTAAGAAGAGTATTAGATTCACGCATATACTGTCCAAATCTAAGGTAAACCCTTTGATGCCCTACCTGTAAATGTTAGCCGGGATAAAACTGTAAAATTTAAACATAAACTTTTTCATTAAATCAAGCACAAACCCACATCATTAAGGAGGGACCATAAAAGCACCAAGGCTAAACAGCCAGCCATGCTTATTAACAACCCCTTTCGTTGGTGGCAAGTATAATGGTCCCCCGACTTTCCGAAAAAAAAAAAGTATGGTGGTCCCCCAACACCGACACTGCAATCAATCAATCCACATAATGCAACAAATGAATAGAATAGATATACAAAGAATACAAACACTGTATCCATACCCAGACATAAATGGCTTTTATCTACCGTCTATATGTGTCTTACAAAAGTGAAAAATATCACAGAAATCACTCTACCTGCAGGTGGACTAAAAGTAGACACAGGCCACTCACATGTAAGAAAAATGAAAGATCTTTAACCAGTCATTGCCGCGTCCTATCTAATCTAGACCCAATCATTTTCTGTTCAAATCTCTTCACAGCTCCGGCAACACTCCGCATTGTGGTATCCTTAACGTATGGGATTCCATCAAGGGTGAAATCTGTTGTATTGATAAGCTGCCGACATGGCTCACGCCGTTCGGCTATGGTCCCGTGATAATGGAAGTACTTGATACGCCCCTCCGTCTTGTGTGTTGTCTTACCTGCGGTGTTCTGTGACATGTGAACTCCGGTGGCAAACACGTTGCGCGGTTGCACCGCGTATTTACGGTCCCTCCTGATTCCTCTCTTCACATCTTTGTACACTAGCTTCTCAAACCCCCATTTCCTGCAAACATCAAATCTTTTCAATAACGGATAGCTTTTGCCAAAAACAATCATTTGGAATTGTTGAAAATGGTAACTTATTTAGCAATAATTTGGTTACTTTCTACTCTAATTTCACTCAATTAAATCTAGCATCTAAGATATACAGTAGGTTTCAACTCTGGCCAACAACATGCAACCTTAAAAAACCAATAAGAAGTTACGCGGGGTAAAACAACCGGCAATAAAGCATATCATAATTGCCCCATAAATTTGAATTCCAGATCTTATTTCACATCCGCAGAGTAACTAAAAAGTGATGTCCGTTATAAGCTGAATGGGATCCACCCTTCTCCTGGCAATGGATTATTAATCTCACATGACAAATGGAACGGGAGACTCATGATATATTCCAAAAAATTCTGGTTGTTGTTGATCACACAAACTCATTGGTGCTATCAATTTGCAAATCCGTATAATTCAGGCATTCCTGCCAAAGTCGAGAAAGCTTGTAACAAAATTTTGTAACGTGAAATTTAATTTACCAATGCAAATGATGAAACTCTCAAACATCCTAGCAAAAATAGTATTTAAAAAAATGTGAACATAAGGAGATCTATGTCATGAATAAGAACAATAGCTTCAGTACAAGTTCTAACCCACCCTACTTCCATTTGGCCAAAATGAATGAAGCAAAGAGAAGAATCTAAACTAGCACCACAAGAGCTTGCCAATAAATCCAAACATGTAAACACCACTTAATGTAACGATTTCAACATCAACATATTTTAATGTCATGATTACAACATCAATATTGATCGTTGCAATTACTCAACCACCACTAAATGGACAAATCACATTACTTTACAAAAGCCCAATAATAGCTCTAAAGCCCTGCACCCTCAACAGACAGCTCATTGCCTTGATTACACTGGAACCCAATCCTTATTCTACAGCTATTATTACTGATATTAAAAACCAGACCAATACACTCTGAAATCAAGCCATAGGCCGTGCATATCTAAAATGGAAATAGAGACAAATTGTCTGGCAGAAAACCACTGGAATATTATTCAACAGAGATACAGCTGGAGATTGAAGGTCAGGCATACTACAAATACAATCCAAAATCTAACTAATAAGTGTACCTAACAGGACCGTCAAACTAATTGTTGCAATTCTAAAGAAAAACTAATAACAGAAAAAGCCCTCTAGGAAAATCAAACGTGTTCGAAATCCTGCCGTGGTAAGGGATGGCAAAATTACCAGGTCTGAGAACTTAAAAACAATTTTTTCAAGGCCATTAGATATGGTTACATAGTAGTAAAATTTACTGACTTCCATATAAAATTCCACCATAATATAATCATTTTTTTTGGCAAAATTAAACCACTAAATCATGCTCAATGCTAAAAGTAATAGATGAATGAAAATGCTGAATAAGGGAATGAGATTTACCTGTAAGTTTTACCGGCATCTTCAGTGAGACAGAGCTTGTTAGACATCGGTATCTGCTCGATAGTGAATTGGGTATACTCTGAAAGCGAATCGAGCACGGATTTAATAGTGCTCTTCTTGGACACAAAGATGAACTCATCCACATCAAAGAAAAACATCCACTTAGCCATATACCGATACCGATGCAAACAATCATTCACAATCAGAAACTGATTATGATAATAACCATCAAACCTCTCTTGCTCTCTAATGTCCTGAAAAGTGACATACCCTTTTTCCATCCAAGGCCTCAGCACCTCCATGACCCCAGAATGTATACCCCCAGCATCATGTATCACAAAATGCGACTTCTCCCCGAACAACCTCACATGATAGGCCAACCATTCTCTCATCCTCTGTGGACTTAAGTTCCCATACAACGACGACCCACAGTACAGATAATCATATTTAGGTTGCGACATAAAGTGGGCGAGATTTAAACTACCAGGTTGCTCCACCAGAGCTTCAATGTCGTCTGTTAAATTGGAGCTCAGGTCGAAACCACCATTGGTGATCGCTTGAAGAAGTAATTTTCCACCGGAGTTGTCCTCGTTGATGGGAATTGAAAAAGTGCAATGGACGACGACGACGGTATAGACACGGCCATAGCCCCAATCTGGGAGGATTTTGTCGCCAACTGTGGTGATGGGTTGTTGGGTGTTGTTAGAGTTAGAGAGCCATTGGCATTCGTAGATGGGTTTACCGAAGACGTGGAGGGGTTTCGCAGCGAGGCCGATAACGGCAAAGTTGTTGAGTCCTCCTCTGTAAGTGGACATCAATATGAAGTTGTATGCTGCTGAGCCATAGGGGTTGAAGGATCGCTTTATGATGCCACCTTCCAGAACCTGGTCTTTTTGTACGAACGGCGGTGAAAGGGTGGAAGGCGGTGGGGTTACCGTTTCTACGTCCGGTGGCACCGTTGATGCTGATGTGTTTACAACTTCACTGGCGGTGGTGGTGGTGATGCAGTTGGGGAGATCTGAGACGGAGGAAATAGAGAAGCGAGAGGGGAGGAACTGGAGAATGGTGACAAGAGAGCACAGGAAGAAAACAGCTGTAAGGAGGAATTTAAGCTCAGCTGCACAGTTCCAGACTACACCCACAAACATCTTCTCTTTCTCTCTCTCGTGCTTCTCTTTACCCACCATTATTAAATGAACTAGTTCCAGTACTTGTACACACACAACCACCAAAATCACCAGCACCACGCAACACCACAGCTAAGAACAGAAGCAGAAGAGAATTCTCTCTCTCTAGGAATGTGAAGGGTGCGCCATGTATGTGGTTGTGCATTGGGGATGGGATTAGGAATCTGAATTGGGAAAAGAAAAAGAAAAGTTAATGAGCGATTAAATTATGAGAAAGTCGTTGCTTTACTGGGGATGGGAAACAGGGACTGTTTAGAGCGGGGCACAATGATTTGTTCTAAGCCTTGCTGTATTATGGTTTTTTGCTTTGAGGACCCTCTTCTTTTAGCATATTCTCACTCTTTTTTTTGTTTTGAGGACCCTCTACTTCGGCATATTCTCATTCTCCATTTACAGATATGCTTCAAATTCTTTGTTCATGCGGGGACACCATATCCTTTGCAATTGTACACCTTTTATTTTTTTGGCTAAATAAAAATTAAGATTAAATATAAAATAGTCCATTTGATACTATGAATAAATAAAAAATATGACTGATATAATTTTTATTCTTCAAGTGAGGTATGATAATCACAGCTCACATGATGACGTGTGGTAGGGGCCTCCACCAGAAAATGTCTTTTGGTCACGAATTAAAAAACATTTTTGCAGGCTGTATAAATATATAAGAGTTAAAGGATGGATTCGAAAAAAGATAAAGGAGCAGGGGCATCGGTGCAAAAGAATTTGGATGGTCATTATAGAGAGGTGACGCGTGGATCATCGTGTAGAACAGTGTGGAAGGTAAGGCCATCCCAGACATCCTGTCCTTCAGCCAGCTACTTTGGCTTATTTAGACTGAGTCCTGACGGTGGAGACGAGTAGACTGTTGTTTTCCATTCTCATGGCGGAGTAAATGTCCGATGTAATGATTAAAAAAAAAAAAATTGGTAAGTGCACATAATCTTTTGAGGTTTATCCCTTACACACAGATCTACCGATAGTTAAAATGTTTCACAGACTTCTTGAAGTGTATACATATGAAACACTAAAAAATCTTTATTTTCGAATGTCTCTTCTATTCGCCGGTGAATTATATTCCTTAAAGATTATAGACACATAATACTTAAATTTGTCAAATTTAAAATATTATATTAAGACAAAAAATATTGAATCAAAAATATAATATCAAATATTTTAAATTTTACAATTATAATTCATGTTCTATTATATTATTTATTAAAATATAATAAAAAATTAAATTAAATTTTTTCTTAAANAAATTTATATTCTATTATATTATTTATTAAAATATAATAAAAAATTAAATTAAATTTTTTCTTAAAAAATCCTAATTAATATACGATTATAATATCTATTATAATAAAACTAAAAAATCATAGTCTAAACCATTCATAATAGAATATAAATTTTATAACTAAAATTTCTATTCTATTATTTTATTTATTGAAATAAATAAAAAAATCTAATTTTTTTCTTACAAAATCATAATTAATATACAATTATACTGTTTATTGGAATAAAACTAAAAAATTAAACAAGAGATCAAATTGTAATTGACACAATATATTCTAACTTTAATTTGGGTAATTTGGTCGCTTAAACGATCAAATTAAATTTTAATAAATAATATAACTGTATACCAATTATGATTTTTTAAGAAAAAATATGTTTTTATTTTTAATTTTAGTTCAATAAATATCCTAATAATTATGGTTATAAAATTTAAAATATTTGATATTCTATTTTTTATTGGAGTATTTTTTTGTCTAAGTATAATATTTTAAACTTAAAGAATTTACGTATTACACCCCGACAAATTTCAGGGGAATTGGATGTAATTTACTAACGGACATTGACAGTAGGAGTTTAAGTATTACGCGACTACAAATTTCAAGAGGTCTGAGTGTAATTCTCCTTTAATTCTATATAATAGTTTTGAACATGTATTTTTCTAAAATTTATTGGGATTGACAGAAAATTTCTCAATTAGACGACTTTTAAATGATTGTTTAGAATATGTTTAAATGCCTTATTTTAAGACTTTCTTGGATGAAAACAAAAAGTTAGAATTACAAGCAGATCCCTAAGGTTTGATACTTAATCATTCAGACCTCTTAATATTTAAAATATTACATGCAGATCCCCTAAAATTTGTAAGCGCGTAACACTTAAACCCTTGTCGTTAATGTCTGTTATTATATCTGTTAGTAAATTATACTCAGACCCTTTAAAATTTATAAGCAGATAATACTTAAATCTCTTAAATTTAAAATGTTATATTTAAACCAAAAATACTCTAAATCAAAGGTCGAATATCAAATTTTTTAAAATTTAAAACTATTATTCATGTTCTATTATATCATTTATTGAAATAAAAAAAATTAAAATTTTAATTTTGTCTTAAAAATCGTAACTAGTATACAATTATATTATCTATTGAAATAAAATTAAAAAATCAAACAAGAAGTCTAAGTCATTCATAATTGAACTTAAATTTTACAATCAAAATTCATGTTTTATTATGTCATTTATTGAAATAAAATTAAAAATAAAAATTTAATGTTTTCTTAAAACTTATAATTAGTATACAATTATAATATTTATTAGAATAAAACTAAAAAATCAAATAAGGTGTCAAACTATAATTGACACAATATCTTTTAGCTTTAATTAATGTAATTTGATAGTTTAATTTGCTCGTTTAAATGGCCAAAATAAATTTTAATAAACAGTATAATTGTATACTAATTATGATTTTTTTTTAAACAAAAAATTTTATTTTTGGTTTTATTTCAATAAATGTCAGAATAAAACATGAATTTTGGTTGTAAAATTTAAAATATTTAATATTTTATCTTAATGAAGTATTTTTTAATATAAGTATAATATTTTAATTGTGAAACATGAAAGAATAATTTAAAGTTAGTTTGAATAAAATATATTAAACATAATACGGAACGAGATTTAATTGATTCGGATTAGAAAAGATAGGACGTGTGGCGCGTTATAGGCTAAGTATCCAAGGAGTATAAATAAGGAAAAAAAAATCAAATTTTTATTTCCAGTACCCAACAGATTTTCGGAATATAGAGAGAGAAATTCTCCCCCATCTCCATCTTCTTCTTGTGATCTAGGGTCAACCGTTTGTCGAATCGCTTAGGGCCAAGAACAAAAGTTGATCTATGCAACGAGAGTTACATCTACATACCAAAAAATCGAGGATTTTGCCAAAGTTTCAAGATTGAAATTTTTGGAAATCAATGTTTGAAACTTGATTTGGGCTTCTTAGAGTTTCTACCACTCGTATTACACTTCAACGAGTAAGGTTCTTCTCCTAGATAGGTTTATTTTCAACCTAGGGTTTACGTATGAATTGGGTGGTGTGATTAGAGATGCAATCTCTTATTTAAATATACTCATAGTGTAACTAGAGTATGAAAAATGATATAAGAATATATAAAACTAATTTTGCATGAACTAAGTATTGTTAAAATTGCTTGATTTGGGAATTTCATGGATAATGTGATGAGTGGGGGCATGATTATGTGTTACACGATTATGTTCTTTAAAGGTGTTTGATAAAATGTCTATGAATGATTCAGTATGTTATTTGAATGAAATTGATATAACATGTTTTATGATGATGTTAGAATGTAATTATATGCTTTATGATATAATTGACAATTGAGAATGTTGGTTGAGATGGAATATTGTTCGTAATGTGCTCACGATATATTGAAACATGACATGAATTTTTCAAGTGTTCATTACATTTGCATATGCATGGGAAGCATCACATTTGTGGACATGTGACATGGGTGTGGGATAAAGAACTGATTGTCTAATAGTTTTTTAGTAGATTAGTAGTTTCTAAACTATAGATTAGTTGGCCTGTTGAAGACACACCGAATTGAAAAACAAAGGGTTTGATAATTTTACACTCACTTAATTACTGATTTAGTACGGTGTGTGCATGGTTTTGATCAAACATCATTCTTGATAGGTTGATATGTAGACTCGAGAATGTTAGACCTAGGTTCGACTAAGTCGCACGGGTTACATGAAAAAAAACTTGCATCGGGTATAGTAAGAAGGGCTAAATTTTCTCTCAGGTGCAAGACCCAGTTACTAGTTTATACACTTCCGACGGTGAAAGCCTAAAAAAATGTATTGGTGTGTGCAGAACCGGAGGTGAGATACCAAAATCTATGTTGGTGTGGTGGACCGATGGTGCGAGTCTAGGAAATCACCTACCAACAAAGACACATGATTCATTTTATAAAATAGTCATTGTATGTGTAACATCAATGACAGGGACTTGGACTACCCGGGCACATATGTATGACATTGCATGTCTTATGGGAGCCAGGTGAAGGTTCGGGTTGTATTGCATGTGTGAGTCTCACCTCATAACATGACATAGCATTGTGACATTCATTTCTTGAAGTTGTATGCTTTTAGATAAATGCTTGTTTGATTGTTGAATTGTATGTAAACATTTCATATGCATCTCGATTAGGAGGTAGTCTTTTTAGGAGATGCCCTATTGAGCATGGCTCACCCTTTATAGGGACAACGTTTCAGGTGTAGGACAAACGCTGGTGGACGGCCCTCACATGGGACCTTGTTGAGAAGAAGCTATTTGGTTGTTTCCATTGTAGTATATCCTAACCTCTAAACATCATCCCTCAATGTGTATAGTCTATGCATGGAGGAGAGTGTCACTCTCCCTTAGAATGATGTCAAAATAAAGGGCAACAGAATGGTGAAATGAAATGTGTGTGTGTGTGTGAACAAAAATGCTTCCCAAGCACAAGAAGATTTTTGTGTGTTATGTTTTACTTAGAGCCATATTCCAAGGTCGTCTTCTTAAGGAAGGAGGTGAATCGTGTAGAAGGTACTTTTGGTGAAAAAAAAGTGTAAAATCTTTTATTGTTTGAAGTTGATTTGTGATTTGTGTTGTGATGAAATTGAAATGAGAAAAAAGTGTTGGCTAATCCGAAGGGTTTACTCCAATGGAAATGTCAAGTCAATTCGAAACTTTCCTCCAATGGTGTATAGATAACGATTGATTTGTGGGAAGCGAGAGAAGAGATGGAAGTGAGGATCCAAGCATAATCCGTGACAAGTCTACAGGATATCAAAGACTCACACCATGTCCTCACTCAACCCAGTCAAACCTAATCATCGAACACCGAGGGGAGGAAAGAAGAT